AAGGATGTGATCTCCTCCTCTTAGGTTTTTAGTTTAGTGTGGTTATCTTTCCTTTATCCATAGATGTAGTCCCTTTCCCTCATATTTTCTTTGTAGTTTTTCTAGTCTTATAACAAATAATAAAAATATCCCTCCGGGGATTAAAAAAAAAAAAGATAAAGGAAATTCATAGCCCTTTGTATGTGACATTTTTTTTTAAAGGGGCTGAATTTCAAGTCAGAAAAAAGACAATGCAGCTGTTTTATATGTAAGAGTGTTTGTGTGTGTGTGTGTGTGTGTGTGTGTGAGAGAGAGAGAGAGAGAGAGAGATGTTTCTAGATAAGTCTAGGAGCCAGCTTCATTTCTGTCTATCTGTATTCCAGTTTTCCAAAAAAGAAAAGATCTGTAGAGGTTAATTGCAATGCTGCAACCCATTCCTTAACATTCCACTCTTCAACATAATTACAACAACACTAAAAAGGAAAAGAAACAAGTCTGCATTTTCTACAGCCTGCACAGAGACAAAGCTGCCTGCTGTCTCTTGAGGACCCGTAATCAGCTGCTGGGTGAGGGTTAAGTCATCCATTAGCTGTGCCTGTCTGGAATGCTGGATGATCTCAGTTATCAGCAGGGGAATAAATCACTTTTTGCAGCCGGGTTGCAATATTTTTCTTTCCTCTTTTTTTTTTTTGACAAAGGGAGGAACCCCTCCCCACACACACTCTCATCCTGACCATGCTTTTTATAGTGATGTTTAACTATGCATATTCTTGAGGCAAAGGAGAAGAAGGGCAGGCTATGGGTTCTCCTCTACCTTTCCAACAGTTAAGATCAAAACTATCTTGCAGTTTTTAAAAAGTGCATCGGTCTTCTAGAGACTTCCAAACATGCCGTAGTCCAAGGGGGAATGTACAGAATTGGCCAGGATACAAAAGCTTCCCTGAGCTCCTAAGTATTCATGAAGTGTCACATTACAAGGCTTTAAACTGCAGCTTTCTGCTAATTTCAAATGGTGCCTTTCTCTCCTAGGGATAACAGGTGCCATGTGAAGAAGCAGCAAATAATTGTTCTGTTGTCCCCACATTTAAATACTGTCCATACTAAAATCCTAGCACAGCTAGATTATCTTCCACTAATATACAGACGTAACTAAAGCCTCCATTATTCTTTTTTGTTCAAAGAGACCTCACAGCTCTCAGTAAACAAAAATTAATTGTGCCTAATAATGTGGGAAAGAAGAGTGTGAAAACATTGGGACACAACTAGAATGGGAATAACCTTAAAGTACTCAAACAAATCGTCCAAAACACCCCAGACTCTAAACTACTCCAACCTACTCTACTCCATTCAATTGTGCACAACAAATAACCTAAAACTTGGGACAAACTTGTCAATATTAAGACCTGAGTTTCTTTGAAAAGGAAATAAGGAACTAAACTCCTGCTGGGGGGGGGGGAACCTTTCAAAAACATGTCACATACAACCTCATATTGGTGACCATGTATTTATTTATTTAATTCATTCATAACCCACCTTTCTCCCCAGTGGGGACCCAAAGTGGCTCACATCCTCCCCCTTTCCCCCATTTTATCCTCACAACAACCCTCTGAGGTACGTTAAGCTGAGAGAGTGTGACTGGCAGAAGGTGGCAATGAAGTCTTCCTTCAAATAGGGCTGATTAATTATTGTTGCTGCTGGGAAGCAACACAGCTAGGGTCACCACTCCCTTCTCACACATACAAAAAATGTGGAAATTCAGTCTAGAAGAGCTTCCATTTGATGCTTTTAAGATGTTTTGAGAGTCAAGAAAACCACCAACTCTTCCTTTGTTTGGCCAGAATTCTGGAACACTCCCCCAATAACGCTAGCACTTTCTAAATTCCCTAAGTAAAAATGCCAGATACTTTTAACACTATGTACTTTTGTTCATGTGGATGATTTAATTAACCCACCCCACCCCCCGATAACAGAGCCCACGACAGCAACACCAAGTGTGCTGTAGTGGTTAAATCATCAGACAAGGATCTATTATTTTATTTAAATAATAAATAAATAAAATGAATAAAAGACCCAGGTTCAGATCTCCACTCCGCCACAGAAGCTCACTGGGTGACCTTGGTCCAGTCACTCTCCCTCATCCTGACATATCTCACAGGGCTGTTGTTGCAGGGATTCAATGGAGGAGAGGGAGAACAGTGTTAACATCTGCTTTGGGTCTCTACTGAGGTGAGAAGTAGGCTATAAATAAATAAATAATGGACATCATAGAATCTATAGTTCCTATGTCTCATTTTATCCTCATGCCAGAAGAGAGTGGCTACTGCATAGTTAGCCATTATCTCAGTCCTCCCAAAGGCATTGCACACTCTTATAGCAGGGAGTAGCCAATCAAAACTCATCCCTTTGGGTTTTTTTCTTTTTGAGTAAGACAGAAACATAAACAGTCATGGTGATTCTTCAAAAAGCTTGTCTGAAGAAGCCGTTATTTTAGTTTAATTATTAACACTGTATATTTTCTAAGATAAATCATATTTACATATTCAAGTTAATCTTAACAAGTTGCTAAATAACATCTTCTATCCTCAGTATATAAATGGCAATTACAAAACACACATGATGCTATTTAGCATCTGATTTGCTTAAATAATCAAGGTATTAACCACAAGTTGAAGAGGCAATAGTGTTCGATGACAACAAAAACATTACAGTACTTTTGTGAATGAAGTTTATACATCTATATATCTAATAGCGAAAGGTGCCCCCTGCGTGCGGATACCTAAATCCGCGCATTGGGGGCACCTGGGGGGGAGGGAGATTTTCGTGCACACTTGGGGCAGTCCCCAGGTGTGCACAAAAATCTAAAAACCCGAAAAAAAAGCTATATATCTAATAGCGAAAGGTGCCCCCTGCGTGCGGATACCTAAATCCGCGCATTGGGGGCACCTGGGGGGGGAGGGAGATTTTCGTGCACACTTGGGGCAGTCCCCAGGTGTGCACAAAAATCTAAAAACCCGAAAAAAAAGCTATATATCTAATAGCGAAAGGTGCCCCCTGCGTGCGGATACCTAAATCCGCGCATTGGGGGCACCTGGGGGGGGAGGGAGATTTTCGTGCACACTTGGGGCAGTCCCCAGGTGTGCACAAAAATCTAAAAACC